TTAATAATAATTAAGGAGAAGTTGGGGTCCAACCACCTAGCATGGTTGTCACACTAAGACTTCATCAGCATGATCAGTCTCAGGGAGGTGACACAAAATTAGTTACTACTTGGTGACCAGTTTATGCAAATATCTCACTCTCATAAGAGGTCCATTATAACTCGAAACACCCGGTTATTATTCGTTGAGAATATATCTGACCTTAATACTGGATGAAGTGATTTCGAATCTCACAGAGAATACTACATTTTTTAAGAGCACAAACATTATTTATTGCGACTCCTATCTAAAACAAAATCTGAGTTCGTGGCTTCCTGCCCACAGGTTACGTTTCATCAGTGCACCAACAGACTGGGGCAATTTTTGAATACATAAACAAATTATGTACTACATTATTTATGCAAGAGTAATCATAAAAATTGCAAACATAACAATCTGGTTTAAATTCCAACATCTGGAAAAATGCTTTTTTTTTCCTGGCTGGAGGCTTCTTGACGCAACAAAGTTCCTTTGTATTGTTACATGAAATATAAATCCCATAAATTCCACCAAAAACTGCTCATATCGTTTTACAAACTTATTCAACCAATTACCTATCATACTTCATCATATTACATCATTTACGAACTACGATTTTCTGATTATATTGGATGTAGTAAGTAGCTATTTTATATAAACTTTTGTCTTTTCCGTCTATCATAATATAGACTACGATATATAAACCTACTGCATTATTTTCATTGTAATTCAGAACAAGCAATTTAGAACATAGTGGGTGCTACTTGTATCAACATAAGTAGTATATAGCGCTAGTCAGGAATATAATATTCTACAGCAGAAGGTTGAGAAGACCGAAGAGAAAAAAACAGGGACAGAAAGCAATTGATATAGAAATTCAGGAACAATGAAGTCTAAGACGATTGGTTGATATTTTGCGAACGAAGTATTTACTGTATGGTTCTCAGATTTTACTAAGAGATTGTATTCAGATACATTCTACTGACCCCACTTATGTTGTCGTTTACTACATTAATCATACGAATAAGGTGTATCTGTATTCTGATATTCTGACGTAACAAACTAGAATCAAAAGTCCATGGGATGTTTTAATTTATGTTGCCACTCAGAACGCTTCGAGCGAAAAATTAGTTAGTTAATTATATTATAATCGATATATTAATTTTATCATTTCCATTTTACAAACTGTTTAATGAATATTAATTGCATACCTTTTTTTATAACGTCAATAATTTGCAACTACCATTAGCATAATTTCAGTTATAAACAGGAAAGTATGAATATGTTGTCCTTCACATTGAATCAAAATAATACTGATACACGAATTATCAAATTATGAAGATTTTTAGAAATTCAATGAAACGTGACTGAAATCATAAAAACTAGATCCTGATTTTATGTTTATGCTTAAAATCTATTCTCATTAGAAAGTTCTTCACTAATGATATTGAATTCTGTTGTATAAAAAACTAAGTAGCAGACCAAATTTTGACAGTAAAATTTTGAAATGAAATACATACTCTTCAAGTCGAAAAGTAAATTGGATTGAAACTGTTATAAACGATTTTTGCTTACAGCATATTACTCTATCACATAAAGTCTAGTCTGAGAATACTGATACGACAGTTTCATGCATCAGAATTACTTAATTATTCCTAGTTCAATAAAAGCTTGAAGAAATTTCAGATATGATTTTTCTAGTTCATTCTAATTGTAAAATGTATTCTTACTGCACACAATGATTCACTACAATAAAGTAACAACTCAACCAAATATAAACTATGGATATTGATCATGAATCGAATAGATTTAAGTGTTTCTCATTTTGCTAAATCCACTTTCAATAAACATATACAATGTATATGAGAAACTTTGTAAATTTTGAGTTCAGATTTGACAACTGTTGTAATGAAAACCAGTTTAGATGAACTGATTGTTTTGTTTTTAACTTTTTGTATCTAATAGAGGACTAGACTGTTAAGCATATATGTTAAAATGTTCTATGATATATTTCATCAGAGAATTTATTCTTAATCAATGTATAGTATAAAAATTATGATTACGAAGTGACTTTTTAGTTGTTACCAATGATGTATCACTATGTATTGAATATAATATTTTTTGTTGTTGAATAACAAAACATTTATTGATTTGTGTTACATTGTTTAAGTATTTGACTATTTAAAGTAAAACTTCAGATATACTACTGACCGAAATAAATAGTTTAGCATAACCGAAAATGATGACAATATCCCACCTGATAGATTAGAGCTGATTGAACATTTGGTCATTTTATTTTATGTATCCTAATTCAGTAGTATATCATTGCTTATTCAATGAAATATGTATATCACATATCTCATTCCATGATCGAGATAAAATGATTACTATTTTGGAAGTCATTCAAACGCATTGATTGAATATTTGGTTAATTGAATGTTTGTCGAAGCATATTGCTTGCATAAATCAACTTTGATGGTATTGTGTTTTTTGAGGTTAGTTTGTCAAGCTGTAAAGGTTTCGTTATCTTTCAGAACAATATCATCAGGATTAACTTTAATCAGAAGTGGAGCGTTAGATTGTATACATATCTCATATAGAAAGAACAACCTACAAACAGTTGACAATTATAGCATTTATAAAAATAAATTCATTAAATGATATACTCTAACTAAATAAAGGATAATGATGACGATATGAGAACTATAAAGACCTAGGGTAGCCAATAAAACATATTACAAAAATGGGAATTTCATAGTCTCATTCTATGACTGGATCAATAAGACGTTTCTAAACAGTATTCTTACAATAATAAGGATTTTCATTTAAATTTGATCGAATAGTTTCACAATATTTGGGCGCCGAGTTTATGTGAGACATTAAGGAGGAGGAATGTATTTGTAAAATCGCATCGAATGAATTAAAAGTACATCAAACTTTTCGCCTAGCAGTCTGGTCCAAGCTTTTTCAAGGAAAATATAATCAAACATCAAAATTATCGAATATAAATAATTACATGGTTCTCTGGTCAACTGTATATTGTACAATGTAATACGAGGATAACTCTGATCTTCATGATACGAATAACAAATTATTATGGTAATGACTTTTTATAGGAAACATGCATGAATTATACAATTTATCAGTTTTAAATGTTTAAACCTTATGATCAGTAAGCAAAGAATAACGGGAATTTGTTTTATTATATACATCGACAGACTTATTCTAAACAAACGGACTGAAATAACAGGAAAAAATCAAAAATAAAGCAGAGTTTTACCTCTTTAAGAAGGACGAGTTCTAGTTTACATTAATTTATACCCACCTCATCATTAAAATATGATCAACTAAGCTGATTAAGTCATTTCTGATCATATTTTTAATAAAATATACACATATATGAGCATTCATTATGCAGTGAACGAGAACTCAGATACGGTAAACAGTGTCTGTGAAATATGAAAATCGTAAATTAAAGATATCATATGCACATTTTCTTTCATTTGTCCTTTACATACTTCTAATTTTGTTATTATTCCGATTGCTTTCCGTTTCTTCATTATCCTCTTCGTCTAAATCTTCCACTTTCTATTCCTGCAATAAACTACTTATATCTGTCCACATAAGTAGCGCACATCACAAAGATAGTTTAAGTGAGTAATTTGGTAGAAATTGAGGATTAAGTATGTAGAAGACCTCCCAAAGAACTTGAGATTGATGGATGCAATAGCTCTAAATCGTTCAGTAGCTTGACTCGAATTCGTAAGAAGGAACTAAATGCATGAAATTCGTAAAAATTATATCTGAATAGTTTTAACAGTTGAAATTTAAATAAATCCAACTTTTCACCAAGCAATTTGGTCCGAACTTCTTCAGGGAAGTAAATGTGATTGATTGCAATCTCAATTTCGATTACTGAGATTATTCAAATATATTTTACGAGGGGCTAAGGGTAATGTTTTTATGTGGTTTATTAGTATATTCTCAGTAATTTAATGTACACATTATGAATATGGATTGTCTCGATGACATTAAATTCTATACAATGGTTGACATACTTAAAATTCAGCCACTAACTGGTTATGCCTATGTTATTAAATTATGGTGATCATTCACCCAAAAATGAGTACGAAAGTGGTTAGCTATATTTTTCTCATTTCCATTTTGTAACCTTAGTTAATTGTTATTCTGACTGCAGAATAGTTGGTTGGTGTGCGAATGTTTTGGAATTGCTAAGATAGTTTCAGTTCTATGTTTTTCAAATTTACGTGTGTTAAGTAATTTATCATTAAGTATTTTGTATTCCATCACCTTTCGAAACGAGTAGATTTGAACGTATGGATAAATGTAGTTAGATTCAGTAGTCGGAATTTATCGTGGTGCATATGTCACCCTAGATCCCTATGTCTGATCCAATACCTGGTCATGGATGGATATTTCTGAGAAGTCTTAAACTAAAAAAAAACAGGTTATTAGTGCTTCTTAGGTTACATGATTCCTCATCTGATATTGATCCATGATGAAGACTACTTTTAATTGTCAGGACTAGTGGGTTAGGGGATAAACGACTGAAAATCAGTGGAAACTTCTGTTTACATTTCCTGAGCGATTATCTTCAGACATGGTCTATAAATTTGGTCGCCAAATAATGTTATTCTGCGTTATCGTTTTAATCTTTCAGCTATTATTATTTGTTGGCATTAGAAATAAACTTATTCTTTCACATATATCAAACAAAAACTGAACAAGGCTTTTGTACTTCTCAATATACTGGAAGTAATCTATCTTAAAAATCTTAAATTTGTCTATTGAAATACTCGTTTTTAATGTAAACAAAATATAGGATGACATTTAGCTATCATTCTAATAATCTGATAGCTTATTGGTAGACAAAATTTGGCCAGTCAAATTTTAGCCAATCATGATTTAGCTAGGAAATTTGTCGTACATGTACTCGCGTAATAATTAATAAGATAATCAAAAAGATATTAGGAATTTTAATTGGCGGATGTCACGTAAACTTTTTCATGCTTGATTAGATTCAGTTGACTGCTGAAACCTTCGACTTATCGTTATCTTTACAAAAAAACATTCCTTCAACCTGGATTTAGTCATGCTTGTAAATATGTACTTACACCTTGCCTACTTTTATGGATTAAGTTGATATTCATCGCAAAAATGAATATTACATTGAAAAACCTTAGTATGTTTATCATAGTAGTTATATATGTTGTCCTTAACGACGTTCATGGCCAATCGTATCAGCCGGTGAATTTTAAACCATCATCTACAGGAAGACGTTTGCTTTATTCAGATTGGGAAAGCGCGCCGTCATTTTATTCACCTGGTGGTATAACACCAGATAATGAACCTCGTGCTCCTATTTACATGGAATTAACAAACAATCTTACATCTGTTAACGGAGCTTCAGGTATATGTGGTGTTTGTGCACGTATATATCGCGTTTTGCATATGACTCAACTGAATGCTGCTGAAGAATGCCGACGTCATCATAATTCGAGACAAGCAGCTTTTGGTGATATTACGGAATTTTATCACACGGTAAGTACGTTACATATTTTAATATGTAATAAGACTAATCACTTAAAGCATTTGAGAATTTTCTGCTACCTATTTTCTGTTAAGTGCTTTCTTACCATTTTCGACACAGTATTAGTGAGTTTTAGGTAATATCAAGGCCAGGTTGATGTTTTCTCGTCAAACAAATGAGGCAAACTATTTGTTTTAGCTTTAAGTTTGCATTTAAAATATGTTGCTCATCCTTATTAATCGCTCAATGTTGTATTTCTTGCTGTATTTAGCAGTAATCATTAAAGCTGAACAAGTGCCCAAGATATTCAATATTGCCAAGCTATTGCAGAGTAAGCATCATCTTGTCTTATAAATAATAAACTAATTGGATAGGATTACAGTATCATTAATAATAGTATTTCATCCCAGAATGTAAATTTTTATTCATTTAAATAATAATTATGTAATTTATTTTGTGTTATTGATACGTATATCATCTGAAGAATGTTTTTTAATCGAAAAACAATTGAACATCCCCTTTAGATTCAGTCTAAGATATTAATTTTAATAGTTGAGATCATGAGTCAGTTGGAGCTAAATCACAGTGGAAAACCTAGAAGTACTGGACGGCTGTTTCGTTCTAGTATGGGATTCCTCGGCAGTGCGCATCCACGACCCCACTCGCAAGATTCAAACACAGAAGCTATCAGTTTCGTGAGCGAACGCTTGACCTCTAGAACACTGAGCCGACCAGCATCCAACGATGTTAATGTCTAACTTCAACCTTCCATGGTGGTCTAGCTTCAATTGACTCATGATCCCAACTATTAATATTACTATAATATCCACAAAAACCCCTAAGCCATTATTTTATGGTGATATTTAATCCTAAATTAATCAAATCTCCAAATATGCTTGTTTAAAAGCTCTGTCTTCGAAACAAAAAAGGAATTGAAAAATCATTTCATCTAACATTCAAATTATCACGAATGCTTGTAGGTTTGTTTATTGGTAGAAATGGATCAATCAGAAAACCCCAGTTATCTTCATCTATATAGTAGGCACATTTATGCACTTTACTTGTCCCAAATTTAAAAGTTGAGATAGGTTGTCTATAGTAAAAGAAATATATCATGGATAGCACCGAATAACTTTCGAGCAAACTAAAACTATGATTCAAGTATCTACAATGATGTAAATATTATTAATTTTATTTATTTAGTTCACACAACAGTTGGTACAACCAGGGACCAGAAATAATATGCATCACACAAAATAATACTTGTGTTTAGGTTTGTCTGAGTCCCCAAACCGAGGCAGGAAGTTTTCCTACCGGTTCGCTCTCCAAGCATCATTCAATCACTTACATAGTACTATGATTCATCCATTGTTTAATTACTTATGAATAACTAGAAATGTACTATGATAATCTTACTGTCATAACATATTATATCATCAGAAAAAATTATGAACTTTAATTAGTTACCCTAATTTTTTGTAGATAAACTCATTTTGTCACAATTCTTTCAGAGAAAAATTAACAATGTATTAAAAGGAAATATATACAATTACAAAACGCATAATTATATTATTATTATTATTTGTGAATTGAATAATTTATGTGATACTGAAACCATAACAACAAACCATTCAAAGTGTTAAAACATTGAGTTTTCTTTTTTGTATTGACACAAATTATCAACATTAGTTATTGTACTCTTTATATGATTCAATCAATTTATACAATAATAGTATTATTTTAGATTAACAGAACTAATTTGTTAGTTCCATTGACAAAGACTAATTGTTTGAGAAAAAAGAGAATATATGCTATTTCTTCTTTTATTCTTATTATTATTATTATCGTTTTTGATGGTTTCATTGTTAGCATTCACTGTTGAAATTAGACTATTTATTGGTTTGATATATTATTTTTACATGAATGTTCATGATATCTAGCCGAGTTATATGAATAGAATTCAGTAACCTGGTATAGATTATGATACTTCACTATGAGCTATAACTTCATTGTCTGCGAGTTGATGGTGTTATCTGACTGCTTAAATCAAGTCATCCCAAAGGAGATTTGAATCAATAACTCAATGAATTAAGGTTGATAGACATTTATTTATTTAAACACATAAACATTGGTACAAGGTGGTACCAAATATATTTGAACCACATTTCGTCATTCGACTTATGCGAAGGTCGGGATACTGAACGGGTGCCCAAACCCCAAACAAGTGGTTTTCTTAGGGGGCCACACCCTAAGCCTTCGACCCAGAGGTTTAATCCAAAAGGCAGTGGAGCAGCATTAGGAGATGCAGTTCCATAGCCAGTGAGCAACAGGTTTATACGCCATTTGTTCCTTCAGGATCCTAGAGCCCATGTTCATCAATGGTTTGGAATTAGGGTATTCTAACCCCTCTAGGTTGATCTACTGTATCCACCAGCCCTATTAAAGCGCCGGACATTCGCTTTTCATCCTCTCAGTTTCGTAAACAATGCTCCTGCAGCGAGAAGGGAGTGAGTGAGTGGACAGCCATAACCATTTAGCCATAGCTTTATTGATACGTTCTTGTTAATGTAATAAGTATATAAAGCTGATAGACTTCATGTACCGAGTTAACAGCTTTAAAGGTAAGCCAGTATGGGCAAAATTAAAATGAGTTCGACGAGTGAATTATAATTTTGAAAATAATACTGAAAAGATAAATTTGAGATGAATTGGATCCATATATTATTTTCGTATTAATTTCTAAAACTGATTATATGAATTATCTGAATGAGAGATTGGACTAATACACTTGCAACTGATACTAAGTTGTTTGTTCGCCTGCTGATAGCCTAGGAGTTCCTACTATTCAGTTCCCTATCTCCTAATCCAACTTAACTGCCTTTCAGAGTTAATCCTTCTTTTATTTTCATGTGATAGATTAAAACACACACTTAAATGACGTTTGTACTCAATGTTCATTAAAATTCCGTTTAAATGTCTCATTTAGATTAAAACATTGTAGTCATTTATATTGGATTGTATACATGTTATCAAAGTCTGCTCCATTTATTAATGAAAATTAGTATGTACACTAAAGTTGTCAGTGATTAGAGAGACATTATAACTTCTTCCCTATGTACATCAGTCTTCCATCTTTCCAACATAACATCGCTAACAACTATATGGAATACAATTTCTTGTTTATTATTATTGTGATTATTATTATTGCTACTATTACTATTTAGTATGAATGACTTTAAACAAAAGTTTTATTTTCGTCCTTTAATTAGACTTATTCCCCTTTATTATTAAGAACACACACCACGATTAATAAAACAACAACCTAATTATTGAAATAATTACAATGATCATATTAATTATTCCTTTTATGGTGTTACCATTGTTGATGATGATGATGATGAAAAATGATGAATGAGAGTGAAAGCTACAATCTGATTTTACCATTATAACTATTATTTATTATCTTAAACCAGATCATCTTGTTTTTCTTCTATTTTTACTTATCTATAATATGATATAACATACCATAAACAAATAAAGAATTAAAAAGTCATTTTACTAGAGACTAAAACATGAAACAGTTTCTGTACAAAAAAAGTAACAATGTACAACATAAAGTTAACAATTATACTACATGGTACACTAATCTCTAGAAATTAAAGCATACCACTACTGAAAGTAGACTGATGGGAAATTCGCTCAAAAAGCAAAAGAAACTCAGTTGATCAGATCTCGAATTCTCAATAGCTAAAACAATTTTAGTGTAAGTTATAAATGGAAATATTTGCTAGCCTTTATAGATGATCTTTGTTGATGTAATGTATGTGAGTTACCTTTAGGTTGATTAGATAAGGATATGCTATCAATGTAAGAAGTTGTTGCCTGTCGATTTAATCGAATACTATAACGCGACTTCTGTTGATGGTCCTTAAAGTTCCATAAAATAGTGGTTGAAAACTCTAGTCGATATAGTTAATATAGGTTAGTTAGAATAATGTACATTTATTCGATCAATAGGACAATGTTAATAAGCTGACATCTTTATTCCTTTAGTTGTAGTTTTGTGCATTCATCAGTATTCCACATAATCTACAAAAGTAAATCAGTCGTCTTAAGCAGATATGGATCGATACTAGCAATGAAATCCAGGGTAAACCTTCCGTCTCGTTTGAAGATTCAAATAACCAATATATATATGGAGTGAAATTCACCCCACTGCACAAACCGATGGCTATCTCGACTCAGTAGCTAAATGAATGACGCAATGACGTTTGAGGCGAACGATGCACTGTTCAAGTCCCGGAGTAGACGTTAACTATGTGATGGTGGCTCATCCAGTTGGCGAGTCCCAAACAGAACAAAACATGTGGGTTCCATTGCTAGCCACTATCCATCTTTGCCTTAATCGCTTGCGATTTGATGGGATTATCGAAGGAATCCGTTTAGGATACACATATGCTGAAAAGTGCCTTATCGATCGCAGTCCTAGACATCGATGGGGCGATTCTTATGAAGTGAATCAATAAGTTCATCCTTATTTTTATCTAAATTTTCTCTGTGGGTTATTTTATTTAATATCACTTAGCTTCGTTGTATCAAGTTTTCGTGATTTCATTTGTGTGAGTAATGAGTTATATAACACTAAAATTAGTGTAATAGCACAAAAAAGGTGTACGATATAAAATTAATTATTGATTTATATTAGTAATATCGTTAATTTGACATCAATTATACGTTACATTAATTTATATTAGAATTCTAGACACGAATATACTATTTAACGGCATTTACCATACGGTGATAGCCAGCTGAAAGGAATTCAACATTTCAAAATTTTGTAACAGCGTCATAGACCCATTAACTTTTTATCTTCAATCAAATCTTTGAATGGAGTATTATCTCATACTACTTATTTTTGACATTATTCATTTCTGAAGTGTACTTTACATGTTTAGTTTGATGAAGTCATTGATATTATTCTTTTTTGGTGAATTTAGAATATATCTTGTTG